CCACAAATTCTCCTAAATCACTCGTACGCACAATTTAAGAACAAATCTGTGCGTACGAACGGTTCTTGCATGAGGTCCATTGACCTTAATATCAGCAGGTGTTCTTGTCCTCAAATTTTCTTCCCAGGTTTTTATGGCTTTTTGTTTTCATTATTTTTTTATTTGCCTTCTTTGAATAAAGATCAAGCAAGCAGTCTGTGTGAAGTCACATTTTTAATTGTAACTTTTGTACAATAAATTTTACATTTTTCACAAGCTAGGAAGTTACTGATGCTGGACAGTTTGAAGGAGTATGCATCTCCAAGAATAAAAGTCATTACTGGTCATTTTAAACAGATGGTTTGTCAAAGGACATCAAATATGTTTGCCTTCTTTAGTCCTAAAGTTACACTAACTATAAAACTGATTTTAAAATAAAAATCGTTTCATAGTTCGTGAAGATAAAACACTGGGGTTTAAATATAAAACAAATGAATCTAAAATAAATAATTTGGAGCATTGTTGCTTGGTGAACCAACTCAACATTTTTTGTTAAATTAAAAAAAACTTTCATCGTGAGAATTTATTCCTCCATCCTTGCCAGCTCTGATCAACTACGACAACAACAACTATCTTTAGAGTCCAAATTTATGTTGTATATAAACATTACATGTTATATAAATCTGTTGTATACAATAGTATACAACATATTTCCCTTTAAATATTTATTTATCTTAAGAAATATCATGCAAATAGTTATTTTTTGCCTCATGTTCTAATTATTGTCATCACATAACTATTAGCAGTTAACCCAAAATAATTTCGATAGCGGCTCCTAGCATCATGAAAAAGAACAGATCCATTTAATTTACTTAGCTCACCAAAACAAAAACAAATTGGTAAAAAAATAGAAAAATAAATGTAAATCTTTGCCAAAAAGAAAAAAACAAACAAAAACTAATCACAGCCGACTAAAGGATCTTTATAAATGCAATATGGTACAAACAGTTTGGTTTTTTAAATACAGGAGTGTTACACTGATATTCTCTTTCTTGGATGCAAATTTAGTTTATACCCATGTACATACAAGGATAGGCATATATCTAAGTTATTATTAAAACACATTTGTAGTTAAGCTGTATCTGAATGTCAAATTAGCTCACAAAGCTCTGTAATAGAATATCAGCAAATTCTTTGTCCAATTTTAACCAAGTACATACAGTGCATATTCCATGTTTATCCTCGTAACATTAAAGCTTTACTGTACATCAGCTGTGGTTTGAGAAGCTACATAAACCAAAGCAGCAAGTTTTAAATGCTCCACATTATGTCTACACTTAAACACTAGAAGTGATGAGTTGAACATGCTACAATGTGAATATCCTGATAAATTTCTCAGGATAATCAAAAAAAAAACGTACATGTCCAGTCTTATAGGCGTTCTGATGCCTCTGAAAACTGAATGATTATAATGACTTTTCTTTCTGGATACACAGAAACACACACAAATCCATGAGTTGCAAATTTTACAAAGGAAATCTGATAAATTGCTAAAAACTCCTGCAAAAATGGTTTGAATGTAGCTGCTGTAATTTAGGAGTAAACCACCTAAATTTGTTGGCTTGTGTAAAACACACAGGGCAGAATATTTATTTGCCAAAAAAAATAGACAGCTATAATAGCTGTGAAAACATGTATTTTTTAATTCCTCACTATTGTTTGCAACTAAATTTGGCAATCCATTATAATAATTTCTGATCTGTTACAGAAAATCTCACATTGTCAGAATATCTCCACATAGCTCATTTGTAATGATTCTAGCTGTAAATTAAAATCGCTAGGAAAGATTGGTGAAAGCTCTGAGCCTTGCATTGATTAAACCAGAGATATCTGGACCTGCTCTGAAACTATAAGTTTCAGAGCAGGTCCAACTGTTGAATTTTTTGCTTTTTTTAGGGCTTAAAGCAGCAACTATCATCACATTTAAACAGAACATTGGTTAATCAGGTGTTTTATTGTCACTTTACATTGAAGAAACATGGCATGAAGTCTAGAGATGTGCAATCACAGATTAGTGGATTCAGCTATCCAGTCGGACACACTCCTGTAATAACTGTGTACAGTTAGGCAGAAAAACTGAGAATAGAATGCATGACACTGTTTGTATGCGTGTGTTTTTTTCCTTCTTTTTATCTGAGTGTGTGAAGTGTGCAGTATTTGCATGTGGGACTTTGCCCTGTGTGCTTATGTCAGTGGCATTTTGTGTCCAATATTAGGTACAGTAAAGACAGTTTGGGCAAAGATGTCGCAACTTTTTTGATATTTTAAATCTTCAATATAAATGTAGAGGCTTTTTCTGTGTATGTGAACCTTTTAATAAGTTCATAAAAATATAGAATATTGGCTCACATTATTATTGAAACATACACAAATCACAGAGGAATAACACCAAAAAAGCTGCCCAAATTATAATATATAGCCTTTTCTGAATTTACAGTGACTTTTAATCAACATATCCCACCAATAGCCTCAACAAACAGACAGGTGAAAAAATTACTCTGAAAATCGATGCTAATTTACATTATGTTCCAAGAGTCACCACTAGTGGATTCGTGGAATGTAGTGCTTAGTGTGATTTATTGAATCTGCTCACAAAAGCAGCAGACATAAAAGATTTAAACAAATACCTTTTCATTGTGAACATTTAGTTAAAACAGGTTAAACATGAATAATAAAATCACTATTTTAGCACTAAGCTGCAATGCAAAACCAACCAACAAACAAACCAAAACAAACAATAATTTCCAAAAAAAAATTCCCTAAAAAAATGATCAAATTAAAGAAAAAACTAGGGTAACAAGTAGCATTGAAAAAAAAAAAGGATATAATTTCCACCTTTGCTTTTCATTTATACAAATGTGTATTTCAGTCCATAGTAATCTGTTGCTTTGAAGCAGCAAGGCTACAATGAGCCTAGTGAGGTGAAGCTGAGGTACCACATCCAGAGAAGTGGGGGCAGCAGATAGTTGAGGCCAGCAAGCTGTCTGCAGACAGCTGAGTCTTTCAGGATGGCACTGGATGCACTTGGATCATCTACCTTAGGAGCCAGAGGATCCGACTGAGAAAGCAGGAGGAAAAAAAGGAATAGTTAACTTTAGGGATGCAAGTTATAGATTAATGAATTAATCTAAAGTTGATTGAGCTTATCGATCGACTAACGATTCATTGATAAGGGGCTATTTTTTAAAAACCCTGACATATTTCTTGAATAAAAGAACGTCCTATAACATGAAGGGCAAATTTTTTACTTACTAAATTTTAAAAAAGTATAGTATTATATTTTAACAATTTATTGTGCCAGCTGTATTAAACACTGACTGAATAAACAATTGTGGATTTCTCACACGTTATTAAACTTTGACATACATATAAAATATAAACAAAACAGGAATCTATTAGGCTTCTAGTTGGGGTGAAAAAAAGGAAAGAAAAAAATGTAAAACATTTAATCCCCCCCCCCCCCCGAACAGAGAGATGTAAAACTATCATTTAAACACAAGGGTATCATTTTAAGCTAAAGATTTACTCTAAAACAAACTATAAACATAATAAAATACCCACGAGAGAGGTGAGAATACAAATGAGTACTGGCAATTGTTTGTTTGTTTGTTTACATTCCTTGTGGTTCTATTTGGGCTGGGCTGCTCAGAATGATTTGATGTCAGTTACTGTTCATTTGATTGGTTTGCTGGCCTTGTTACGCGATTAACTTCACATTATTTGTAGTGACTGTAACATTTTTGTTGTTTTTGTTCTTTCACATGAGTTAAACTCAGCAAGAAGCTGTTACCTACAGTTAGCTTACTGTTCTCTATCATCCTACTCCCTTGTCTTAATGGTCTCTTTGCTGGATAGTCCGGTACAGCCTTCGGTACTTTTCCTTCGAGTTTGGTGTAGTCCATTATTATTGTTGTGTCGCAAATAAAACTAAATACAATTCACGCAATTTAATTATGATGCCACCCACATCGAGGCTGCTCTCTGCTCAGCTCAACAAGGCCTGGGTAGAGTAAGGTCGGATTAAGAGCAACAGCACCCTCTACTGGATGGTGGCCAAACTACACCGAAATAAGGTTTAAACAAATGTTTTCAATTAATCGAATGGAAGGAATTTTAATCTAATAAGCCATTATTCAACAATTAATTATAAGTCGATTAATTGTTTGCATCCCTAGTTAACTTACATTTCTAGATATTGAAGTACTGTTTAAAGAGGCAATATTATGTGTTTCTCAGGCATATATTTAAATTCTATACCATAATAATGTAACTATGTCAACTTCAGTTATTATTAAAATGCTGTTTCTATGTTTAAATAGAAAATAAACTTGACATCTCATCAGTATCTGTTTCTAAACACCTTGAAATTGGCCTCTGTCTCTTTAAGAACCTCCCTCCGCTTCTGTCCCGCCCATTTCAGCACGGGCCAGGTGTGTGTGTGTGTGTGCTCTGTGATGAGGAAGCTCAGCTTGGCGACACAGCCCAGAGGAGGAGCTGATCATAAAAGGCGGTTCTAGGCTCAACCAGTTATTTTTGCTCCCCTGCCTGTCTGCCTCAGGACACCACAGGATTTCTCAAACATGCATGAATAGAGTTTGCATGTTCTGTCTGTGCATGCGTGGGTTTTCTCCGGGTACTACGGCTTCCTCCCACTGACCAAAAACATGACTGTTAGGTTAATTGGTAACTAAATTGTCCCTAGGTGAGAGAGTGAATGGTTGTTTGTATCGTTTGTCTCTATGTGTGGCCCTGTGATGGACTTGCGACCTGTCCAGGGTGTACCTTGCCCCTTGCTCTGTGGCTGCTGGATATGGGCACTAGTGACCCCCATGACCCTGAAAGGAATAAGCGGGTATAGATAATGGATGAATGGATGGATGCATGAATAAGTCAAAGCTAGACTCTGGGCATGTTTTTGATGAGAGGATAACATTATAACATGGTATAAAACTAAAAAAAAGTTGATTTTACATGATATTGCCCCTTTAAGTTTGCTGTAAACATTAAGCATGCACAAAGTGTTCATGAGGCAAATTAAAAAAAAACACTCTTTACTGACAGAACAAAGAAACAGAACACTTTTTCATTTCTTTGATTACTATAGTAATACACTGATGCCAACCAACTAAATAAAATCTAAGAATGTTTCATTTCTGAGGTTAAAATTTAACCAGGAACCAGTAATAATTAGATCATGGACAAACCAGTAAATCAAGAGCTTCACTTTTTAATCATCTGCTTCCTCACCTCAACAAATTGGAGGAACAATGCCCTCATTAATGTGGAAGAGGCCTCTATTGGTTCGTTCATCTCTCACTCTTTCCCAGAAAGTTGAACTCCTCTGATTGACTCACCCCTGACCCAGATAGAGGAGTGTAAGTATCTCAAAGTCTTGTTCATGATTGATGGTGGGATGGAGCAGGAAATACACTGACAGATCAGGGCCTTGTCTGTAGTAATGAGGAGGTTCATAGACGTGGTGAAGAAGTAGCTGGGTCGCAAAGGCAAAGCTATCAATTTACTCGTCTGTCTACATTCGAACCCTTGCCATGAGATGTGACAATACAAGCAGCTAAAATGATTTTCCTCTGTAAAGTGGCCATGATCAGAATTCACACTAGACTCCTGGGCAAAAATATTTTAGCCATTTTTTTCATACATGTCCTACTAGGTGGGAATACTGGAGCATTCCCAAAACTTGCTAGTGGAATTATTTATTCTTCCTGTCTTGGCAATGCCTTGCCCTTAGGAAAAAGCTGTAGAATGTTGCTAGTTAGAGGGGTGTCTGAACTTCCCTCATAAAGCTGTTATCTCCACAACCCGAACATGGATAAGTGGCAGAAAAATTAATGGATTGATGTTTGGACAAGGGGTGACAGTTCAATCCACACCAAGAATAAGTTTGACTTTATGCCAAGAATGTAGACACATCTCTTACTTTGGGTTATAAAGAAACTGGTTAGAACTTAAAGGTGGCCATGAAGAGCCCCTCAACTCCCACAGAACCCCAGAAAGAATGCTTCAGAGAACACAGTCATAATCCTACAGATACACAAAACACATCCCAGATTGCAAAATATGAGTGAATCAACAATGAAATATGGTTAGGCATGATATTAAATCCATGTTGAAATTATACTAAAAGTGGTTGGTGACTTACTTGTTGAAACAATGTTAGGTTTTCAACCATAACTGATACTATATCAGTATTGATTCAACATTGATTAAATGTTGGCATTCCAATCATTAGAATTGGACCATGAAACAACATTGATTTAATAACATCTTTCCAACAATGGCTATTTGGCTAGAATTGGATTGAACCAAAAATCAACTTTTTATAACAAAATTCAACATTGAATTAACATATTTTGCTATATGGGATATGAACTGCTATCTATTCATTAAAAATATATATTCAAACTAATGTTTTGCTGTTATGTTTTCACAAGTTTCAATAAGTTCCTTTATTTTGACACAAGACATCTGAATAAATCTATATAATACCATTAGTGTATAAAACTACAACATGCTTTTTAGAATATGCAGATTTTTAAATGTGCATGTGCATCATTGAATAAATATGTATATTTCTTTCTTTGGTACCTCTCTTAGGTTTACTTATAAAGCTTCAAGCTAACGGCTGGGTCATCTCCCCTAGACCTGGTTCTGCCTCAACTAAATGTCAGTCCACTGCATAACAGTGCCTTATTATTACACAATGACATTTAGAGTGAACTTTAAAAGCCAAGAGATAAGCAACAAACCCATTTCAGCCTCAAAGAAACTACAAAGACCAGGGGTTTAAAGAGAAGGCAAGAAAGATTGCTGTGGCAATCATTGTCAGACAGAGCTCAGAGACTTTCAACCAGGAGGTCGATTTAGACCATGTGAGATTGGATCACTGAGCCAATTGCTGTGTGGTATTATGTCAAATTGTTTCCAGAATTAAAAAAAAAAACAGGAAAAGAAAAAGAAGTCATCTGAAGATGTCATCTTCTAACATGTTTTTTTTTTTGCCTTAAATTTAGGACAGTACAACATAGACTTGAAATAAGTGTAAAATTTGCTAACATTTTTTCCATTTAGAGGGAGAAAATTTTTCTAAAGGATTTGACCCTTCTAATTAAGACTTAGACTCTCTCAAAAGAGATGAAAACAACAGAATGGAAGGGATTGAATTTCTGTATTCCACAACATTTAAAATAATAAATTTTTAACTTTATCTGTGTGGATGCGTATTGTGTCCTTATTTGTTCTGATGGCTGTGCTTTAAGTTACCTTCCCCCGTGTGTGTGTGTGTGTGTGTGTGTGTGTGTGTGTGTGTGTGTGTGTGTGTG